TATATGGCTATGTAACCATCTTCTGCTACCAACCTGTATGGCAATGTCACAATCTTCTGCTACCAACTTGTATGGCAATGTTACAATCCTCTGCTACCATTTCTATATAATAAAACAGATTTTCCTCACAGGTTATGGGCAATAACCTATGTTATAAATCAGTATAAACCCAGAGATGAATCTAGTATAAACGCAGTACAAACTCAGATTTAGAGGGGTTAAAGTTCAGCACAGAACAGAAGAAACCAGCCTTAGTAAGCTAAAGCAAATAAGTGCAGGGATATAGCAACAGAAAGAAGACTGCAACAGAATAAAACAAATAAACAGACAAATTAATAAGTAAATAAAGCTGAGACAAAGATTTCATTTGCGAATCTGAGACCACACCTGGAGTACTGCAACCAATTTTGGTCACCAACTATAAAAACAACATTGAGACTTTGGCAACCAAGATGATCAAAGGCCTGGAGACTAAACTTTATGAAGAACAGCTGCAGGTTTTGGGTCTGACTAGTCAACGTCAATGAATACCTGTCAATGAATGCTTCAACCACAACAACACACGAGCACACAATAGATACAAACTTATGGTAAACCACTCCAAACTTCATTGCCGAAAGTACGACTTCAGTAACAGAGTTGTCAATGCCTGGAATGCACTACCTGACACTCTGGTTTCTTTCCCAAACCCCCAAAACTTTAAACCAAAACTGACCACATTCCTAAGAGGTTTTTAAGGGGCATGCATAAGTGCATCAGCGTGCCTACTGTCCCTGTCCTAATATTCCCTTGTATTTTTATTCATTTCATGTATTCATAATCATGTCTATACTTCTATTTGTTGTCTAGTTCATGCTTGATGAAATAAAATAAATAAAAATAAGAGAAAATAAATAGTCTAAAGAAAAGAAGAATTAGGGGCGACATGATAGCAGTATTCCAGTATTTGAGGGGCTGCCACAAAGAAGGGGGCATCAAACCATTCTCCAAAGCACCAGAGGACAGGACAAGAAATGATGGTTGGAAACTAATCAAAGACAGAAGCAACCTGGAATTAAGGAGAAACTTCCTAACAATGAGGATAATTAATCAGTGGAACAGCTTGCCTTCAGAAATCACGGGTGCTTCTGACAGAAAGGAGCTGACAGAGCTTCGAGATTGCAGCCAATACTTTTATCGCTGGGTGGTCCATTTG